ATTTTCCTCAGCAGAAAGGGACAGTTGTCACACATTACTTCTGTGTTAGAAATCCGTTTTCTGGAAGCCTTGTGATAGAAGTTCATTCAAAAGTACGCACTTTAATTGGCACTCAACATGCACTAGATGTGGTTTTCACTCCTCTAACTGACTTGGCAAATGCAGGCACCACACGTTCTGTAGGCTTCTGTTACCTTTCTTTTCATCTCTGCTTCATGATGGTGTGATGGCATGGAGATGGAGCTTGATTCAGCCACCCATGACAACAGAGGCGTCTCTCCAATCAACAACGGAAAGGTGTAAAACAGTTTGAGTAAAATTAACAGCAAGAAAATAATGAGGCCCTCTGGGTATCCCATCACCCCTTGCTCTCCTCTCCACGATTCCCACCTTTCTCTTGTGATCGTTACCTCTGCGCCTGTCTCCTCAAGAAACACGCTGTGCGTGTTTTTTCACTTTTTCATCTGTCTCTCCCTCTCTCTCTCTCTCTCTCTGTCTTATTTTTCTGCTTCTTCACCAACATCTTCTCAAAAATTCCTTTGCTTCCGCGAAGTGTAACTTCTCCAAATTTCTCCTCTTCGAATTTATCTTCTTAAAATTCTTTTGTTCCTCTTACGCTAATTGTTATTCCACTTTTCTTCTCATTATTCAGTGATTTTCTCATTTTCATTTTTCATGCAGGTTTTGCTTCTTATTATATTTCTGCTGATGACCTTCAAAACATTCTCTTTGTTACAGCAAGTGACGCTCAGTAAGGTTTTGAAAGCAGTGCTTAAATACCGCATATTTTGTTACTGTCAGTGTAGGTTAGAAGAAACAGAGCACAAATGCATCTCCTAACATCTTTTAACATTTAAATATAAGCTGTTTGGAAAGGAAACAGAGTCGAATTTGTGTTGGATAAACATGTCTATTGTCAATACAACCCCTACTGTGAGACTTCACCATAATGATTCATATAACATGGAGCGTGAGCGGTGAGATTTCGGGGTGTGTGGGTCGCACGGATCACGGTGCAGGGGCAGATGGTGACAAATGGACATTCATCCTCCCTGTCTCTGTCATCTAGAGGAACTCCCCAGGGGAAAAATGCACTGGAGGCGGGAAGCAGAAGCGAAGCCATTGTGAAGGGGAAGCTGTCAGGCACTTCCTGTTATGAGAGGAAATGCATACAAATGTGCTTCCTGACCTCCCCCCTCCGACTCCCCCTCACACACGTGCACACACACACACCAAACTCAGGCTGGGAATCGGACCTTTTTTCTCCTTTCTCCCTTTTATTCCTTCTGTTTGGCAGTAGAAAGGGATTCTCAATCCTTTAAACAACAGTTCAAACTCACCTCACCGTTACGTGCGCAACGGCACATTTAAGTCTACGTACTCGGCAGTTTGTTTGTCATGCATGACAAGAATGTGCTCACATGATAAGGGCTTCACACTTCTGTGGTCTGCAGGTTCAGGGTTCGAAGAGACAAAATCACAATCGTTATGAACCATGGTCCGTCATTTCTTGCAGCTCTCACCACATCGAGGAGGTGTTGCAACTGGCATTTTCTGCAATTAGCACGCTGGCTCGCTGAAGGCTCATGAGCTTCACAGATAACAAGGAATGAGATTGTGGAGGCAGGTAGCGAGCAGGAGAAGCGGGAGAACATCACACTTAAGGCCCTTGTGACTACATTATTCTGGCATGTTTCATATATGGTGAACTTTGTACCAAAACACTGGTTTTGGAGATAATGTGTAGGGAATCATTTGCTTTGAGTTCTTCATCAGATGAGATAAAATAAGTAATTTCAGCTAGTATTCAGTCGTGTGATATCAAAATGGTGGCCACTTCATGTAAAATCAGCAGCTTTTATTAGGTTACTGGTTTGAGTATTTCTCTCATGTTGAGTGGACATGATTTTAAACAGATTTTCCACTCATATTTTGGGGTGTAAAACTTAATAGGATAGTTTACCCCCCAATAAAAACATTCTCTTGTCATTTACTCAGCCTCAACTTTCTTTCTTCTACAAAACACAAAAGAAGATTGAAGAAACTTGAAGAATCGCAACCAAAAAGTTTTGGTTACCATTGAGTTCTATTGTCAACATTTCAGAAATATATTTCATAGAAGAAAGTCAGATGATGACATGAGGGTGAGTAAAGGATGACAGAATTTTCTTTTTGGGATGATTCTCCATTTAGGATCTAACACCTTTCACATAAATGTGACCCTGGACCACAAAACCAGTCATAAGGGCCAATTTTTGAAAAATCGACAATATTTGGCCGACATAAAACTATTTGAAAATCTGGAATCTGAGGGTGCAAAAAAAAATCAAAATATTGACAAAATCGCCTTTAAAGTTGTCCAAATGAAGTTCTCAGCAATGCATATTACTAATCAAAAATTACGTTTTGATATATTTACGGTAGGTAATTTACAAAATATCTTCATGGAACATGATCTTTACTTAATATCCTAATGATTTTTGGCACAAAAGAAAAATTGATAAATTTGATCCATACAATGTATTTTTGGCTTTTGCTACAAATATACACCAGCGACTTAAGACTGGTTTTGTGCTCCGAGTCACAAATAGGAAATTAATAGCAAAGTAAAATTCTAAGGAAACTTTATGGATTTTATGGACATCAAAAGAATATAAATGACATTGCAAAAAGCCTCTGATGAAGGATTTGTGAAGTATCTTTAGTATGTAGTGTTAGTGTTTGACTGTGGGTGTTGATGTCACTGGCCACAGTTCTTAGCTTGACCGCAGTGATTATTTAAAGTCCTTATATCTCCATATCTGACTATCTGTGTGATACTACTTCCTCTTTCAGAGAACTGCCCTGCAAATTGCTACATTTATTTTGGATGTGCGAATTAATGACTGACTTTGTTGTTTGTTTTTCAAATAATCCAAAATTCAAAGTCTGTTCATCAAACACACTGTTCAGCGTTTTCTTTTCTCAACCTGCTGTCATACTGGAGGTCAAATAATTCAAATGACAGATTTTTGGCTTATTCTTTTCGCATCTTGTCACACTTGCCAAATCTCCAGAAACCTCAAGAAGAAACCTCTCAGAACTGCTAAGTCACACTATAGAGGCTTTCTCAGGAAGCGCGAAACTCTCATTTTGGCTTTATCTTGCAGAAAAGGGAGCTGTCAAAACATCAGTTGTGTTGTTTAAGTGCCTGTTCAACTTGTCAAAATGATACATAATCAATACATCATTACTTCTCTCATAAATTACTGGAAGTATGATGATGGAGGATGACCAGCAGGATGAGAATCACTACTATAACTTTTGTAACTGTAATCTCTGAAGATTGAGAGAACACTGTCAAACAAAATTGGTGAAATGCAGTTCAAGTACACAAACACATACTGTGTGGTGACAGGACAGTTTACCCAAAAATTAAAATTATTTCATGATTTACTCACCATAATATTATACCAAACCTGCATGTCTTTCTTTATTCTGTGGGGCACAAACAAATTATTAGAATTGTGTTTGTTTGTTTATTTATTTATGACCCCATTGACTTTAAATAACTTTTAAGTGCTTTGCAGGTGAAAGAAAGTCATATGAGTTTGGAACAACATGAGAGTGAGTATATTAATTTTTAATTTGGGGGGGAACTATCCCTTTAAGTAGCTACTTCTACTTTTCTGGATGATTCAGTAATATAAAATAATGTTTTTGATTTGAATTAAACCAGTTAATTTAGATGTTTCCACATAAAGTATCTGTTCAGATTACCTGACAACAAATGTTTTTACAGTACACTATAAAATGTTCCTACTTGTTACACAAGTGTTATTTAGACTTTACCCATATATTTTTTTTAATTGTAACTAGGGATTGTTCTTTATTTATTTCTTTATTACATTTTTTTTTTAGTTTAACATACCATATGAGCTAAATAGTTTCACCATGACTACGTCAGAAACAAATTTGCAGCATCAAAGAATGCAATACCTTATGCTAATACATGCAAATTCTCTTGGTGATTGTCACATGCACAATATATTTTGTAATGTAATGCACTTTCGTTATGCAATAAATAAAGGGATATAGATTACTGTGAACATGTATCACAATAACAGGTGCATTGGGGACATTTTGGCTACATTTAAAAGAGATGAAGAGTTTAGTGGTTTGGCCTCAAGGTTCCTTCTATATCATGAGCTGGTCTTGTGTGTGTGGTTTCTCGAGCATTGCATTTAAGTGCTCAAGAGACATGAAACCTATGAGGTCAGAGAGAGATGCTTCTTATTTTTAATGCTGCTAATTTAGATGAGAACATGCACTGAGAAGTCATTAACAGCCTCTCAAACACTCTGTGGCAGCGATGATCTTTGTGCGAGTGAGTGTGTGCATGTGTTTGTATGTCTGTGCATCTGCTGAAAAAGTGCATTTGCACACAGATGCACGCAAGGGCAATACAATCTTTCTATTTTTCTTTGTTCCCCCAGTTTACTTAAGACGAATATGGTTAACCTTTATTATGAAATGAAATTATCCTAATTATACAGTCGAACTTATGTATTAGAGGGGTCAGACAAAGTTGGTGTTACTGTATTATTCTTAAATGAGAGGTTGATGCCTAATTTTGGAGGTTATATTTCAATTATTAAAGCTATTTTCTTCTTATGAATGCAAGAATAAGTATTTTACTTTTGGTTAAAGAACAGAGTTTTTAAAAGATCTTCAGTTGATTTATGAGAGGAAGGAGCTATTACTCTATTGTCTATTTTTCCAGATAATTTGGAAGAGCACAAAGGAAAATAAAGGAAAGTAGACAGAAGGAAAGAAAAGTAACATTGATTTTCTGAAGAAACACTGTATTTAGGACAACTTTAAGAGCATCAACGCGCTGAGCAAACACACATAGAGTCATCCATCTCCGTTTTTATGCCACCAGCCAATGCTTTGTGCTACGCCGTCAGTACAGCCTGTGACTTGTCTAAGCTTTTTCCCCCTCTTCTGTCTCTCTCTAGGTGACGTTTACAAAGAGAAAGTTTGGCCTGATGAAGAAAGCCTATGAGCTGAGCGTGTTGTGTGACTGTGAGATTGCCCTCATCATCTTCAACACTACTAACAAGCTTTTCCAGTATGCCAGCACAGATATGGACAAAGTGTTGCTCAAATACACTGAGTACAATGAGCCACATGAGAGCAGGACCAACTCTGACATTGTTGAGGTGAGTTTCTCAGATCTCCATACACTTACCTGACATTCTCACACTGTCAGCAGGGCATTATATTTTTTCATAATTAAAAATAGTAATTAAAAATATCTTACTGACCCCAAATATTTTAACAATATCTGTTGTTTTTAATGACATGTCTGACAAATTGAATGAACATTAATTATTGACCTGATAAACATTATGTAATTTAGTGGCTGTTTGAAATGAAACACAAAGTGTTACATAGGAAATGTAGATTGTTATACTGGGGCTCCTTTAGGCTGGTTGAAATCTTGTCCAGTGTGTTATGTATCATGTTTCATTAGACTAAATGTATCATTAACATGTGATTTTGACTAGGATTCCTTGTGCATAGTGCCATTGCACTCTTATTTTCAGCCCTTATTTTTTTATTTTTCATGGAGAGACTCTATAGACACAACCCCAAATGACTGTAGATCATGCAGCACCTCTTTTGATTGTAATTATAAAAAGTACACTAACTAAATGCATCCAATATCATGCTGTATTTCATTTCACTCTGTTCTTTTTGAATGCCAGCTACTTTGATGTCTGCATTTTCTCAATCAGCTTAATGCTCCTAAAGGCTCTCACGTCTTAGAGACATGTTGTCCGTGGGTTCCTGCCATAAACCTGAGGCCAGGCCACGCTAAGCTATTGTAGCTGTCTTGAGGCAAACATCCAAAAGCATGTTACAGAGTGAGCTGCTATGTAATCTACTTTTCTGAGATGTCACAACACATCTTTAAAAGCAAAGGTGACATACGTGGGTTGACAAGGTGGTCCTACTGTATGAAGGACTTAAGGGCTCTAAGACAGTGTCCTCTTTACATGAACAACAACAGGTCCACATCTACGTACAAAGTTAATATCCCTAGATCTATGGGTGAGTTTGTGAAGTGGGTTGATCACAATCTAAGTGCACTCCAACTCCTTTGCTATTAGAGTCAATCAGACAAAACAGGTTTTTCTGTCTACTTCCTTTTTTATACTGACATATTGTCACAAGTCACATTCCCGCTCACTCTGTGGTCCATCTTCATTTCCGCTGTATCTACACTTGCTTTAATTCACTCAGTAACTCTGCAGCTCGATAATTTAGTTGTATTTATTTACATATTCAGCAAGTGTATTTCTGTATGTATATATCTCATAAAGCCAGTGTGGCATTTATAATTAATATATTTTATTTGTTTTTATGTGCTAGGAAATATCATCTCAAATGCAAAGATGGGTTTTTGTAAATTCATTGATCATCTGTCATTCTCTTCACCGTTTTTGCCTCTTCTACAAGCTCAGACCTTGAGGCAGATTTAAAGGGCAGGTAGAATGTGCTTGTTATTCCTGCTGTGCATCAAGGCACAATTACAAAAATGCACTCCAAGCTTGAGCAGCTGTGCTAGATGAAGTTTACCATTTTGATGCATGAATAATCTCATGGAGGACTTAATGTCATATGCTTTTCATGTGTATTACAGTCCACAATCCATGGCCAGTAGTTTAGAAACATAAGGAAGAATTTAATAAAGAAGATCCACTTTACACTGAAGTGGTGGTGTAATAATTTGTCAATGAAATTATTATTCATTTCAAATTAATAATAATAATAATAATAATAATAATAATAATATTTATTATTATTACATATAATATTTATTTGTTTTTAATAATTTGTTAATATAATTATAAATAAAATATTATATTATATAATTATAATCATATATTTTATTTTAATTTGATTATATACATTATTATAATATTAAATATTACAATAAAAAATAAAAACAATAATATCTGTTTAGTTGTTTTAGTTTAGTTTATTTATTTTGCACAAGAATAAAATAAATACAATAAAAACAGAACATAAAAGCACAACCCGTGCTGGGAGAGGCAGAAAACCCAATGGGCTTATTTAAAGCCTCCACCTAAACGATAAAGAAAACAAAAACAACAACAACTCATGAAATTAAAGAAAGAGCTAAATTACAATAAATATATAAATATAAATAACTACAAATTAATTACAACATATGTAAAAAAAAAAATTTTTTTTTTAAAACATATAATCCAAAAACAAACCATAATATGCATTAAAAAAAACAAATCTGGAAAATGCACTGCTGTGTAACTCCATGAAAGCTATAAATTCCTAAAGGTTTTGTTGAAATATAATTATAATCATATATTTTATTTTAATTTGATTATATACATTATTATAATATTAAATATTACAATAAAAAATAAAAACAATAATATCTGTTTAGTTGTTTTAGTTTAGTTTATTTATTTTGCACAAGAATAAAATAAATACAATAAAAACAGAACATAAAAGCACAACCCGTGCTGGGAGAGGCAGAAAACCCAATGGGCTTATTTAAAGCCTCCACCTAAACGATAAAGAAAACAAAAACAACAACAACTCATGAAATTAAAGAAAGAGCTAAATTACAATAAATATATAAATATAAATAACTACAAATTAATTACAACATATGTAAAAAAAAAAATTTTTTTTTTAAAACATATAATCCAAAAACAAACCATAATATGCATTAAAAAAAACAAATCTGGAAAATGCACTGCTGTGTAACTCCATGAAAGCTATAAATTCCTAAAGGTTTTGTTGAAATATTAAGGTATATGGTGCAATATATTCGTTTTTAATTACATTACAATTCCAACATTACTTGTATAACATACTTTCAAGAGTATCACAGGTCATGCTCACAATTTTAACAAAAACTCTTTTAGTTAGCTAGACCTGAAACTGTCTTTATCAGTTAGCTCTGAAATAAAAGTAAAACCATACTGGTATATATTTTTATTTTTATAAACATTGTAGAACAACTTTCGGAGTGCTGAATTCGACTTAAAAAGCAAGTCCTAAACATCTTGGTTTGCTCTGCCGTGTGAAGACAGAAAATCACCACATGCAAACATCGAAGTGGAAAGAAAATAAAAAAGAGCATATAGCGAGTCAAACTGCTCCCATCACCAAGCAACAGCTTTAGTGGAGTTTCTTTCCAATTTGCCAGATTTGGATCAATTTGAAGGTGGCTAAAATGCCGCCCTAACTGGATTTGTCGACGCTGAAGTGCTGAGCTCCTGCAGGGCCCCGTTTTTCTGCTGCTAGGTTACATCACGGCCAGGGGATGTGGGCGGTAGGAGGTAAAGAGGAACAAAGCAGACTTCCTGTTGTGATGGCAGGATGGGGACGAGGCCTTGGGGTGGGCCGGAGGGGGAACTCGGCATAGGGGTATCAGTGCCATAGTTCAGCTTTGAGCTGTAGTGTGTGTGCGAGACTTGTTAGACAAACACATATATCGGCTATGGACCGTCTGCTGTACATACAGAGATTTAGCATTGTTTAAACGGGCTGAAAACACACACACACACACACACACACACACACACACACTCATAGAAGCCCAGCCTCTTTAGCTCTGTTTATGAGAGGCTAGAGGCTCTTCTACCCTACTCTACTCTCCCTGGCTCTTTCTTTCCGCTTATGTCTTCCGTTTTCATCCATTTTTATCTCTGCTTTCGTAGGTCAGGCCATTCTCCCATTCAGCCGAAATGTACGCAGATGTGCCTTTCTCAATTTGGCATTTGCGTAATAAAAGATATAAACGTGAGAAGGGAGACATGAAAAAGCAAGAGATGAAAACTTTTTCAGTTGCTGATAGATTTAAAACAAATATTGTCAAAATGATATTTACGCTTTGATTTTATTTATTTTTTACAAGACAAAGTGGTGATAGACTCATAATTAACCGGGACCTTGGTAAATAAAAAAGCAGGGTCAAACTAATCAACAAGTGTGTTCGTTGTTCGTGGTACATTTTTTCAGTTTTTACATAGCTCTTCATACCTCAATCAAAGCACCCTTCCTAGCATGTTTAGCTTGAATACAAAAACTCATTAAAAGTCTCCTACGTCTTAACATCTGAGGCTAGACAAAAGGTGGGAAGGTCCAGATAATTACACCTTAAGTCATGAAGAAAGAACAGATTACAAGTGCTTGTGTAAGGTAAAATTATCTAGTTTTAGGTTAGCAGGGGGTGGGGGGAACAACACAAACACAACAACATGGTTTGGTTGTCAAAATGCTCTCATTTGTTGGCACAGATACAATGCAGCATTTATTTGGCAGGAGATTAAAAACTTAAACAGCTATAGATTTCCCATAATGCACCGTGCCAGACCAGTTTCCCCAGCATGTGTGGAGCATTAGAGCTCAGCTGAGTTGGTTCTGTTTTTTTTTGTTTTTACAACAGTTGAAGGATCAGTTGCATTTGCATTGATACTCATCAAAATCTATGTTTCATTATTATTCAGTTTAATTTTATATTACATGAAATCAGTAAATTAATGAATTATAAAATATAAAAATAAAACATACTATAAAGCATTTTATAAATTATAAATAAATAAAACATATGCATTCATATGCATGTATTTGTTATAATATATAGAATCAGTAAATGAATGATGCAAAATATATAAATAATAAAAAAAAAAATTTTTTTATAAAATATATTACAAATGTATATAATTGTAAACAGCATTTTATATATAAAATATCAAATCAGTCAAGTAATGAATTATGTAAATATTACATAAAAACCTTTTACAAAATGTTATATAAATAATTTAGCATTTTAAATAACAGTTTTATTATAGAAAATAATTTCAGTAAATTAAAGAATAATGTAAATGTAATATAATAGTTTATGTATAATACAAAATTACATATATAATTTTCTATAACATTTTATTACTTTAGTAAATTATTGAGTAATGTCATTGGATAAAAATGATTAATTAGTAATCACTGTTGTTGTGTTTTTTGCAGCACAGTTATTCAAGATTAGGCAAAACCAAGAGAGATTAGCATGGCTATGAAAGAAAAGAAGCACGTTGTGGCTGCATGCTTTACTCATGTCAACACTCCCATCATCACGTGGAGCGGTCGTGTGAGCAGGACACAA